CATTTGACTACATTACAACTCTGTGGATGATCAATATTGTGAACAACTTTCGCAGGATCACTTTCGCATGTCGAGATGTTCATAATATGTGCGTGTGCAGGCGCTCACAGGCTGTTTCACAGGCACACGCAAAGCTTGAAGGTAAACAAACAGCGGCTTATCATAAGCATCTCATCGATGATTATTTATACAGTTGGCATTAAGAAGAACATATAAACGTGATCTGACTAACTTCTAGCAGCTGAATGTGTCTGGAAAAATATTCAAAGGCTTTTATTCTCATAAACCGCGCGGACGTAAATGCGTCTGACTGTTGTGATTGGCTAAAGCAGACGTCTCACGTCAGCACGTTCTAGACGTGCACGCGCTTATTACGGCAATCTTCCTTCTGCATTCACACAGCGCAGCATTCCGGCAAATTGCCGGTAATCTTACAACTTCTCTTTCCGGAAAATAGCCAGAACGAATTTACCGGTATTTTCAAAAAGGACCTGTTCACACATACAACCTTTCCGGAAAATTGCCGGTAATTTTCCGGAAAGGTCTGTATGAGTGAAAGGGGCTAAAGTTCCCAATAGGTAAATATCTTCAATATCCTCCAGACACAGAGCAGCCAGGCACAGGGCGCACCACTTCTCCCACCCGTTCATCAAGTATCCAGCTGCAAACGTCCCCGCAGGACAAGTGGGCTCTCCCAAGCCCAAACGTCTCGTTGAGAAGATGGTGTCAATCGCATTCAGAGACCAGATGATCAAATCCATAATTCCTTATTCGTTTGGATAGCAGAGCACGGAGAGCCTCAGAGATAGAATAAGACGAAGACAAGAGGAGCTAGCAAAGAGAGATATGGGACGGAGAGGGAAAAAGTGTGACCGCCTTCGCCAAGAGCTAAAGAAAGAATTTGAAAGTCTTGAGAGCTTCTCTAGGTAAAGGAAGAAAAGGAGTAGATGGGGTGGACCAACACAATCTCACGGTAATTCGTAACTTTTTCATTTAGTGGCTAATTCGTACAAATTCGTACGATCTAATTCGTACATTTTAGTATGATTTGCTCATCCCCCAATGATGATTTGGGTTTAGGGGTGGGGTTAGGTGCCACGCCTCCTTTTTAAAATCGTACAATTTCTTACAACTGAACTCCACTAAACTGCCAAAACGTAAAATACTTACGTTTTCTCGTGAGATCAGGCTGGGTGGACGGGAGAGATTCTGCAAAAACTAAGATAAGGGAAGTAAGCTGAAAATGGGCTATATATCATAGACTTGGATTGATCCTATGGGTTTACCGATGATTGCAGATGAGAGACCAGCCACGATCAATCATATCACATGCTCCTCTTGAAAATAGTTTATAAAACTTTACTTAGGATGAATTTGGAGCAGCTGGTGGCCAAAAAGACCTCACTATGACCCATGAATATTGTTTTACTAACAATATTACAAACTAGCAATGTGAGCTAACAAAATCAATATGGTTAATAATAATAATAACAATTCCTTACATTTATATAGCGCTTTTCTGAGAGCTTAAAGCGCTTTACACACAGGGGGAATCTCCTCATCCACCAGCAGTGTGCAGCATCCACCTGGATGACGCGACGTCAGCCATTTTGCGCCAGACCGCACACCACACACCAGCTGATTGGTGGACAGGAGACAGAGTAATGAAGCCAATTATGACAAGGGGAAGGTTAGGAGGCCATGATGGACAGAGGCCAGTGGGCAGATTTGGCCAGGATGCCAGGGTAAAACCCCTACTCTTTTCGAAGGACATCCTGGGATTTTTAACGACCACAGAGAGTCAGGACCTCGGTTTAATGTCTCATTCAAAAGACGGCCCTCACCGAGCAGTATAGAGTCCCCGTCACTATACTGGGGCATTAGGACGCACACAGACCGCAGGTTGAGCGCCCCCTGCTGGCCTCACTAACACCACTTCCAGCAACAACCTAGCTTTCCCATGTGGTCTCCCATCCAGGTACTGACTGGGCGCAGCCCTGCTTAGCTTCAGTGGGCGACCATGTGAGAGTTGCAGAGAGCTAGCTGCCGGCCAACAGTTTGATCAGTTTAGTTTAGATTTCATTTGTACTTTAATTTAGCTATTGATGTTGGCTTATTTTGTGTATATGTGTGTTAAGCCGTGGTCACACTGGACTTTTCTCCCTACAGACTTCCATTCATACGCATGCAAATGCGGCAGACCGGAAACGCAAGCTCGTGCAACTAGTTTCGCAGATCGTTGCATTACAAAGTTCGAAGATATAAACATGACCTCTCTGGACAGAAATTTCAAATATGGAGCAATGTTCGCTTTTTAATGTCTAATTATTTTGTTTAATTCTGCCCCTTTTCGCAGTGCCGTATGACAGAATTTTGCATGCTCAAACTCTAGTGTGACCACGGCTTTAGAGTCTTGTGTTGATGTTCTCCTCTCACCTGATGGACGTTTCGTACAGTCGGTGCAAGTTCGTCTCTCAGTCTCTTCATCGCCGCCACAGGAGTTTCACTGAAGTACGGCGGTTCTCCATCCACCATCTCCACCACCATGATGCCCAGAGACCAAACATCCACCTGCACATACAACACAGGTATCATCAGATTTTTTACATGTATCTAGTACTACCTATGTCAAATCAAATCAAATCAGGTCTTTATTTGTCACATACAAATTCGTTTAGTGAAATTGAACCCCCCCGACCGTACACAAACTGTCAGGGTTCTGCCACTCTGGTCTTGTAAATTCTTGTTTTGGTGGCAGAGCTCGGACACTAGCCATGTCTGGTCCTGTTTCTATCTCTGTGTGCACGCGCCGTCGTGAGTGTACGCAGAGTGTGCACGCTCCCGCTTCAGACGCTCTTGTACTCGTGTTTGTGTTTTCGTCTGTCTGCAGCAAGGTGTTTCATTCCCAGCGTGTCAGTCTAGTTGGTTTCGGTTCTGGTCGGCGCTGGGATGAAGCATGCACGCTGCGTGTGTGAGCAAAGAGTGAGTGTTTTCATTCATCGTGTGCTCGTGTCTTGCGTCTGTTAAAGCACGTGGCTATGTGTTTACATTGTGGTCACGTGCTTTTGTCATGCTTCGGTGTTGTGCTTGTGTTGTCTTGAACACGTAGTTAATGAGTTCTCTCATTGGCTGCATGTTGTTGTCCTGTTTTATGTGAGCGCATGGCTTGTGTTGTCTCTCTGTGTCATGCGCTCTCCCGTCTATTGTCTAGTCCCACCCTCCTTGTAAGCCCATTATTAGTTAATTATGTTCATCTGTTTGTGTGTTAATTTCCTACAGTTTATAAACCCCTCATGTCTGCTGTCCTGTGTGAGTTCGTCATCACATGTTGTCCATCTTTACCTGTCCTGCTGTGTCCAGCCTTGCCTTGTCGTGACTGCCCAGTCAAGTTTGTTTGTTTATTTGTTTTATTAGTGTTTTCCCCCTCGGGGTTGTTTATTTTGCATTTTATTTTATTTTTATTATTTAATAAAATCCTATTTACTCTGCGCTTGGGTCCTCGCTCCTTTTTCCCTTCATCGAACCTGACACAAACATCACAATTTTCAGGGGAAGACAGGACAAAGGAGATAGCATTTAGAAAAGGAAGGAGATACATTTCAGGAGAGGGAGGCAAACAAAAAACAAACAAAAAACTCCCTCTCGCCTTGCTCTTGAATTAGGGCAACGTGAGACCAGGGACAAAAAAAAAAAGCCCAGCAATCACTACGTAAACACACAGACAAGACATAACTATGCCACAGGGGATGGGAACAGGGGGTGTGGATATAGTCTGATGAGAGCGGGCAGCCATCTGGTCCTGCAGCCAGTGCAGTGGATGAAAGCACACAAAGGCGTGGGATGAGGAGCTAGGTAGTGATTGTCTATCTGTAGCTGTGTATGTGATTGTGTGTAAGCCTGTAGAGTCTAACAGGTGTCCTTTACAGGGAGCAGGAATTTCAGAGTGTCTCCTTATCTTGCTATCCGGGAGAAGTTGTTTTTCTCCAGCTGAGGCCGTCTAGCAGGAAAACACAGGGAAGCCGAAGGAGACGAAAAGTCATTTAGTTTTAGGTCAATGTCTGCCAATTTCACAGATATTTAACGTCTGTCACTCGTCTCCAGATCTGGCCAAATGTTCTTGCAGAGCTGCTAGTTTCACCACGATGTTTTCCAATTTGCGGTCAAGGACCATACTCTGAGCATTTGCTACCATACTCATATATGTTTCAATCAAGCCGGCCAGCCTGGTGGGGTTTTGAGCAGCACTGACCGCTTTCATCAATTGTCGATACCCCAGGGCAGCGCATAAGTCCATCAGCAGAAACCCTGTTATCAAAGTTCCCAATAGGTAAATATCTTCAATATCCTCCAGACACAGAGCAGCCAGGCACAGGGCGCACCACTTCTCCCACCCGTCCATCAAGTATCCAGCTGCAAACGTCCCCGCAGGACAAGTGGGCTCTCCCGAGTCTCATCGAGAAGATGGTCTCAATCGCATTCAGAGACCAGTTGATCAAATCAATAATTTCTTATTCGTTTGGATAGCAGAGCACGGAGAGCCTCATAGATAGAATAAGACGAAGACAAGAGGAGCTAGCAAAGAGAGATATGGGACGGAGAGGGAAAAAGTGCGACCGCCTTCGCCGAGAGCCAAAGAAGAATGTTGCTATCCACCTATTTTTAATTGAGTTTTGGAATATTGCATGTGCATTAGGGTTGGGCATCTAAGCTATAATGCCGATCCGATACGCATCTCGATACAAAGAATACGATCCGATATATTAGCGATACATTTGTGACATATTGCGATGCAACACGATACGATTCACACCCATATCGCGATACGATGCGATATTTCAGCACTAACTAATTAGATCAAGTTTATGAGATGATGTGAAAGAGGATGCTGTGCCATTGAATGAGTTTGATTATTTATAAACCAAGCAAAACCAAGACTTTTTTTTACAAACTGGCTTTTCTCTCAGAGCCAGAGTGTCAGTTTACAGTAGAGGGCCATTTTAGAACATATAGCACATATTATTTAAGTATTTTCAAGATAAACAGAATGTATAAGTGCAATATATATTATAAATGTATATATTTGCACTCTTTCAACATAAATAAATTTAGCATTGCACAACAAGAATTGTGATTTAACTTTTCAACTATGAAAACAAGTTTTACAAAGATATTTTGCCACTGATTATTCAAAACTTAAGGTGGTGAACTAGCAGTGTTATGCTGCTTTGAAACATCACTGTCACTGTAAACAACAGGCTGATAAAACACCCATTATTTTTATCATTATTATTATTAATATTATTATTATTATTATTATTATTAAATAAAAATTAACAGGAGGAGGTGTTTAAAACCTTCGTTCTCCGTGACACTAGGCTGAATATCTTTGCAGATGAACAATGCAATAGCATTCGTTATTGGCGTAGAGCGAGCAGAACTGTTGCGCATGGAAAAAAAACTTGCGATGCTTTTCTCACCACTTTTGGAGCTGGTTGAAGCAGTGCGAAAGCCGGGGATGCAGAAACACTGGAAGATGCTTTCACAACAACACCGTGGCGCCGCTTCAAGTGAGATTTCAGATTAGTCGTACTGCCCGCGTATTTTACAGAAGCGCGACACATTTTGCAAATAGCATCTGTCCTGTCAAGTCGTCCATCCTAAATCCATAATGTTGCCATACTTTAGATTTAAAACTCAGTGGGGAATAAAATGTTTGTTTTGCTTCTCGCGCTTTTTGAGGGCGCTCCACTAGCTTCATCCGCACACCTGATACACTGAGTTGTAGTGTGTGCACATCCGCAAATCCGTTGCTAAGGCTTACTTTATGTAGGTCGATTAAATTATGCGCCAAAAACAGGTTGACAACACTTGTTAATAAATAAAAAATACATTCTATATTAAAAATATAAGCTGTATCTCGGAAAAAACGATGCATCTCGCAAAAACCGATGCATCTCGATTTGCTTCCAAAATTTCATTCATTCTCTGCTGCTCAACCGATGCACTCGCATCGTGCACGCGCATGACCGCGTATCGATATATATCGGTTAATCTTCCCATCCCTGAGTAGGATCAACTTTTAATCTGATAAGAGCAAAATGTGCATAAACTATGATGGAAACACCTTTAGTGAATGAATGCGCATGTGCGTGAGGTGATGTAGTGTTTGACAGATGATTTCACAGATATAAATATGTGTTTCACGGACTTTGCATAAATGGATTTTGCAGCTTTCCATGTTTCCATAGTGAAAGATCTGGAGCCTCATGTATCAACGATGCGTATGCACAAAAACTTTGCGTATGCCAGGTTTCACGCTCACGTTTGGATTAACTAACAATGAAATGAACGTGGGAATGTGCGCTGGTCCAAGCTAACTTCATGTCTGGCGTACGTGCATTTCTTGTGTGTGTTTTATTTCCATTGGCGACTCCTAGAGGCAGTTGTGTTAAATTGCACACTTAAAAGTGTCTTTGAGCCGTGCGATGGCAGCTGCATGAGACGGGTTAATCCGCATGTCTAGCAGGTATATAAGGTTTCCATACCATGCAGTTGACCAGCCAAACAATAAAGCGCAATTTGCAGCGTTCGCCGGTTTGCACAATGTAACCGGAGTGATCGACTGCACGCACATTGCTATAAAGGCGCCATCTGAAGATGAATTTGCATACATGAATCAGAAACATTTCCATTCAATAAATCTGCAAATAAAATATGATGCACACACTTTTTAATGATTCCTACTTGTCTTCCTCGTGATGAAGAGTAGACAAAATCTGATATGTAGCGGGGAAAAAAAGAAGAACGAGTTCAACAGATGCTGGATTCGAACCCAGTTCATGTTCAAACGTGTCAACACATGATGCCATGTGCTTTACGAGCTCTGCCACTCACGCTGTTAAAGACACTACAAAATTTTACACCTATACATCTCACTATTTCTTTTTTAATCCACTCAGTGCGATGTTCAGACCCAACGGTGTTAGTTCAGTTTAGTTTAGTTTAAACTTTATTGTCCGTTCTGCTTGACACAGAAAGGAAATTTTTCTTCAACACTGGATTTAGGACAACAATTACAAACATACAACAACGACACAATAACACTTATCAACACAACAACATAAGTTAAAAGTTTAAAAACCAAATTAGCCCCATGCACAATACTGCAAATCATACTTGGTAACCACCTCATTCACTACAAACATTGATCCGGTTTAGAACAACAACTGCCATTGGGATAAATCACTTTTTATAGGCATTTCTTCGTGCTTTAGGAATTCTAAACCTGCGTCCTGATGGTAGCAATTCAAATGCTGAGTGAAGGGGGTGTGTATTATCTTTAAAAATCACAACTGCTCTTTTTTCCATAAAAATCTGCAATGAATGCTGTTTGTGACCAGTTATCTTATTTGCCTGATTGATAATTTGCGCTAATTTCTTTTTCTGTTTAAGTGTTGTGTTACCGAACCATGAAACAATATTATATGTGAGAACACTCTCTATCAGTGATCTATATGCCAAGTTTAAAGTCTGTGTACTAACATTAAAACTTCTCAATTTGCGGAGGAGATAGAGGCACTGACTTGCTTTCTTATAAACCGCCTCTACATTACTATTAAAATTCAGTTTATTGTCAATAATTGTGCCTAAATACTTGAAATTTGAAACCTGCTCTACTATTTGTCCGTTTATGGTGACTGGTTTAAAGAGTCCAGTATCTACTCTTCTTGTTTGACTCCCCAGACATAACTCTTTTGTTTTCCCAATATTTAGGTGTAATGAACTTTTGCCAAACCAATCTATAATACTATCAATATATCTAAAATATAAGGAGCTATTCATTTCTTCCTGACATGAAACCAATGCCAGATCATCAGCATATTTTATGAGTGTGAGATTGTCATCAATATTGCACTGCAGTTCATTAATATATATAGAAAATAAAAGAGGTGATAGTACACATCCCTGAGGTACCCCTATATTTAAAACAGAGCAGTCAGACATAGCATGATTAACACAGACACGTTGTGGTTGGTTTTTTAAAAACTCTCTGATCCATATAGGCCCCGTTTACACTAGTGTGTTTTAGTTTTAAAACAGCGTTGTAGAATGAAAACGATCCACGTCCTCACTCGCGTTTTACCCAGCGTTTCTGAACAGCTCTCCGTCCACACCAAAACGCTGTAAACGCACATCACGTGATCACACACACACTCTCGGGCAAGCGCTCCAGCATTTCTACCCAGATGAGAGCTCTGCTTGTCGGACTGCTCATCAAGCATCTCCCGCTGGATCTAATCTCACTATATTTGCTAAACGTGATATTTCATTCATGTTGTTGTCTTTATCTAACGACATAGGCCAATTCCCTGACTTTGGTTATTGGAATCTATTAAGTTACTTGTTCACGGGTAACATGTTTTGGTTAAGCGCAAAGATAAGCTAATGATTAATCCAGGTACATGGACTGATCGCTTGCCTTTATTTCCCACAATGTATAAACTTATTGTATGTTATACTTTTATAATTATCGATTATTAAAACTGATATTCAGCAAAAGAGAGGGTGTGTTTCGTATTTTCACTGAAATTGAAAGGAGGCAGTTGTTATCGGCTCCGTTTTGTTATAAATATCCACACAGTGAAGATGACGCTCATCTTATGCAGCACGACGCCTCAACATTTCTGCTGTCTGTTAAGTTGCTAATATTAAAAAGAAAATAGGCAGTTCCTTATATCAAGTTTACATTTTATTGTTGAGAAAGTGAAACAACGTAGCCAAGGTGATGTGAATAAAGTTATAAAGTGCACTGTTCCCTTTGAAGATTTACCCGTGTCCTCGGTATGTTTTCCATATCAAACTGAGAAGGGGGAGACTGCAGCCTTGATCTAACTTGCGAAGTCTTAACTTACAAGAAGAGGATGCGAGACTGAACTGTGTGTTAGGCTACTTAATATTGAGGAAAAGCCCCAATCAGATAGGCGAACGTTTGCAGCCCCGCCTCCGTCTTTCCCCATCCACACTGAGACGGAGCAGCAGCGTTTTAGAATGAAAACGGCCTCTCCAGCGTTTTCAAAAAGCTCCGTTTTCGGCGCTCGAGAACTCCGGCGTAGTGTGGACGGATGGCGTAACCGTAGCAAAACTTATGCGTTTTCAAACTAAAACGCACTAGTGTAAACGGGGCCATAATCAACCAGTTACTTACTCCTAAATTATAAAGACGTTCTAAAAGAAGATTAGGTTGAACAGTATTAAAAGCAGCTGAGAAATCCATAAAAAGTATTCTAACATACGTATATGGCCTGTCTAGATGATGTTGAACTTGGTTCAAAAGAGTAAGAGAGGCATCCACAGTGCTCCTGTTGGCCCTATAAGCAAACTGCAGGGGATCCATTGTCTTCTCAACTTGAGAGGACAATTCCTTACACACTATTCGTTCCATACATTTACAAAGAACAGACGTAAGCGTGATTGGACGAAAATCATTTAAGGACTTTACATGAGGTATTTTAGGTACTGGAATAACTATTGAATTTTTCCAGGCTAATGGTACAAAACCATTGTCTAGAAATACTTGAAACAGTCTGGTGCACACATAACCCAATTGCTCCGCACACTCTTTTAAAACTTTCCCCTTCAGGCCATCTGGGCCAGATGCCTTGTGTGATTTAACATTATGAAGCACTGCAATAACCTCTCTTTCCTGTATGATCATGGTCTGTGACTGAGTCTTAGTTCCTACTATATCTAAAATTATTAACCGCGTCAGCTAAACTCTCCCACTCTATTTTTTCTTTAGTTATTGATTCCAGAGGACAAACTTGCAAATAACACCGTTTTTCTCCGGTCTACCTCCGAAAGCAGCACCTCCAATTCACATTCTGTTCAAAGTTTCTCTTCTTGCTTGCTTTTGCCGTTGCTTTTTCGTTGGGTTTTGCCAAAGTAGAGTCATTAGCATATTCATACGGGGGAGGAGGCAGGGAGGGGTTTTGCGCTCGTGCATGTTGCGCTCAGTTTCACGTTCATTCAGATGTACAAAAGAATATGCGTGAGATTTGGCTTACGCAGTGTTTCATACATCTGAATTTCTTTCTGCGTACACACATTTACAGCTTTGTGCGTACGCAATGTTTTAGTATGAAGTCAATGCAAGTCTTCGTAAATGAGGCCCCTGAAATGTTGTTGTGCTGATTGTAAAAGGCCTCAGCCCTCCGTCAGTCCGTCATCACAGTGCTTCCGTCTTATTATTCCTCTATTATTATTTCCTCCAGAACTGTCTTCAGCTTCTGTCTGCGCTCCCATAAAGCGTCTCACGCCTCCAAAAGCCACCGCATTCATTGCGTTTCATCTTCTGAGGCGCAGCTCATTTATTAGACAAGAAAAAAACCGCACAGTGGCGAATCCCAGCAGTGCAGCGAACTACACTTCTCTCAGCAATATTTCTGCAAGTTCATTAAGAAGTGACCATTTTGTTCTCTTTCACTGGAAATGCTGCTTTATTCACAAATGTTTTGTGCAGTATTCCAGTTTTGTGCATTTTTAGATGGACACATAGTGATGTGTATTTGTTTTGTTGATCTGTACCTCAGTTCCGTATGGAGATTTGGAGATGACTTCAGGAGCCATCCAGTACGGCGTTCCTACCAGAGACTTTCTCTTCGGGATGTCTTTACTGATCTGAGCGCAGAAGCCAAAGTCTGACAGCTTGATCTGAATAGACAAACAAAGAGACAAGAGGTAAAAGAAGACACATATATTTGTTGCATTGACTTTATTAACTAGTAAACAGAACATATACATGCATAATAGGCCTGCACAATATATGGTTTCAGCATCGATAATGCAATGTGCGCATCCGCAATAGTCACATCGCAAAATAAGCAATGTTGAGTCTGGATTATAGCTGACCAGGAGCCACAGAATTGTGTTTAATCATTGTATTTATATAGAATATATATGATGCAAAAAATATACAGTTGAAGTCAGAATTATTAGCCCTGTTTATTTTTCCCCCCAATTTCTTTTTAACCCTCTACTGCACGCTGTAACCATATGGTAACATGATACTCATGTTCATTTCCTGCCACTGTTTCTTTAAGACCAACAATTTATTATTATTATTATTTTTTTGTTGTTGGAAAGAGAAGACCTTAGAGTAGCCAATGATGTGCTTTGGTTAAGTCACATGACATCCAGTGTTTTTCTGTAGCGCAATTTCTGAAAGACTGGTGTTTATTGTGAGTAGTTCCTAAATGCAAATGTAAACCAATAAAAACAAAGGATCAAATTATTTTAGATCCACAAAAAAATTTGAAACATCACCTCCAGTAAGTTATGATGACATATTCACGACTCAAATGTTTTAAAATCAAATTAGTTTTTTGTAAATCAATAAAATGTGTGTTACCAAATGGCAACACTGTGCAATAGTGGAACATGCAATATTGCAATTGGTTAGCTAGCTAGCAAGGTCAGCTGTGAACAGTTGTAACAATAACAACATGAATGCTAGGAATATAATGTTGATTATTCATGTTAATGACATTTGCATTATGTATAAAATCTAGTTTATCTAGTAATTAATCTAATAGAGTAATTAGGCAAGTTATTGAATAAAGATGGTTTGACCGTTTTTATAATAATCAGCAGTTATTTGCTCTTCTGCTGTTGTGTGGGCTTTCTTGGCCTTTGCTACACGGTGAGCAAAGGAAGATGCAAGGAGTGCCTGTACTTGTTTTGAACATGAAGATGTTATGCATTCAAAATAAAAGTCTGATATAAGCAAAATAAGGTAAAAATGTAACTTTTGTTGTTGTTGTTTTTTACCACACACTCCGCAACCCACTGAAGATGTTCCCACCAATTGAGAAACACTGCAGTACACCTGAGTGCATTGTTTCCAATAATTCAACAGACAGATTTTGGCAAATTATTCCACTTATACTACAGATCCCACTTCTAATATTTATCAACCAATCAAAATCAAGCATTCAGCGACCCTTGTAGAAGTATTCGGAATTACTGTAGGTTACTATTGAAGTTAATGCACTACAATATTGAGTCAGGCAGCGCAGTGGCTCAGTAGTTAGCATTGTCGCCTCACAGCAAGAAGATCACTGGTTTAAATCCCACCTGGGTCAGTTGGCATTTCTGTGTGGAGTTAGCATTTTCTCCGTGTGTTGGCATGGGTTTCCTCTAAGTGCTCTGGTTTCCCTCACAGTCTAAACACATGCACTATAGGGGAATTGATTAACTTCTTAAACTCTGCTGCTATTTTGGCATTTCTGCCTGGATTTTGCCTACCTAAATTTAAAAGCTTCCCAAATCCACATGCAGAGGTGTGAATGCAAACATTTGGTATCATTTTAAAGGAAACCCTTTGAATTTTCATGAAACACTATTGAAAGTGTGTAAAATATCTGTATATGTCGTCTGTGTTGTAATAAACACCTTAAAAAAAGAGGTGCTTTTTGTATTTTTTTTATAAACTTAAATTTGAAAGTGTCTCTTTTAGGTTGTGTGTGGTCTAGCGTGCTGTAATTAATGTTAGTGGTTCCTGCACATGTCTGTAATCATAGGGGAAAAAAATGTCTCTACCATAATCTATGCAGAAGTTATTGTAATCCAGCTGATGAGAGGTGCTGTACAAGCCACAGGGAGCGATCATTGTTTTCATATTTCTCTATTCTTTTGTTTGATCAAACATAATTCACTGTGTTTGGAGCACGTCAGACATATAAAAGGATTACTTATGCACATCATCTCAAAAACAGAGGAGAATGGCCCTGAAGCACACAGCATAAGGAAAGAGATGACAGCTGTCTGTGCTATCTGGGGCTGCTTATTGATCATAAATGTATTGCTTTCACTTCTGCGCCATGGAAACACCGCGATTCATTCGGCAACTGTTTGATATGTGACTATAATTCAGTAAAAAGAATGCTAGAACCGTATGAGCACCGGCAAGAGCTTTCATTTGAGCTATAACTTGTACATGTGTCATATATGAACCATATGAAAATGAACCAATCTTCAATACCCAGCTCGGGTATCCAAAATACTGTGTATTTAAGTGTAAATAACTTTTGCACAGTAGAATAAACACTAAAGAGATGCATATGTGCATAAAATATAGATTCTACACTTTCAAACGAAACCACTTACGGGCGTCTGGTGCACTTCTAGCCCTTTAAATCTTAAAGTGAAAGTCAATGACGTTACAAGGAGTTTAACCTGGTTTAACTAAAGTATATGGGTGTGAATGAGAGTGTATGGGTGTTTCCTAGTACTGGGTTAAAGCTGCAAGGGCATCAGCTGTGTAAAACATATGCTGGAATATTTGGTTCATTCCACTGTGGCAACCCCTGATAAATAAGGGACTAAGCCGAAGAAAAATGAATTAATAACTCGCATTACATTCTTTAAAAAGCAACTCAAATATTAATCCTCAGTTTTGCAAGTTTTACTTTACTTGTCATATTATTACCTAACTAGTGTTACTTTTAATGTGTTACCCCCAACACTGGTGGTCAGTGTCAGTTTTTGCACACTTTGCAGATGACGTGGGATGAACTTACACGTCCGTCCAGTGACAGCAGGATGGAGTCGCTCTTGATGTCTCTATGAATGACTCCCTGCGAGTGCAGATACGCCAGAGCCTGCAGAACAGCCTCACACACCGTCGCTATCTGCTCCTCGCTCAGCCTGATCAACCAGAAAACACACATACATACACATTATATAATTTGTGTGTGCGTTACACACATTATATACAGTTGAAGTCAAAATTATTAGCCCTCCTGAATTATTAGCCCCCCTAACACATTTCTAATCATAATAGTTTTAATAATTCATCTCTAATATCTGATTTATTTTATCTTTGCCATCATGACAGTAAATAATATTAGACTAGATATTCTTCAAGATACTAGTATTCAGCTTAAATTGACATTTAAAGGCTTAACTTGGTTAATTAGGCAAGTCAGGGTAATTAGGCAAGGGTTTCCTCCAGGTGCTCCAGTTTCCCCCACAAGTCCAAACGCATGTGCTATAGGGCAATTGGGAAAACTAAATTGGCCGTGGTTTATGAGTGTGTGTGAATGTGAGAGTGTATGGGTGTTTTCGAGTACTGAGTTGTGGCTGGAAGGGCATCAGCTGCATAAAACATATGCCAGAATAGTTGGTGGTTCATTCCACTGTGGTGACCCCTGATAAATAAGGGACTAATCCGAAGAAAAATTAATAAATGGTATTAGGTGATTATTGCTTGTCAAGCATCACAGATATATACACTAGATATCGCATAGAGTGTCAGGGTTCTGCCACTCTGGTCTTTGTAAATTCTTGTTTTGGTAGCAGAGCTCTGACACTACCCATGTCCGGTCCTGTTTCTGTCTCTGTGTGCGCGCGCGCCGTCAAGGGTGTACGCAGAGTGTGCGCGATGCCGCTTGATGTGGCCGCGCACGCACTGCGTCCGTCAGACGCGCGCGCTCTTGTACTAGTGTTTGTGTTTTCGTCTGTCAGCAGCGTGGTGTTTCATTCCCAGCATCTCAGTCTTGTTGGTTTCGGTTTTGGTTGGCGCTGGGATGAAGCATGCACGCTGCGTGTGTGAGCGCACGGTGAGTGCTTTCATTCATCGTGTGCTCGTGTCTTGCGTCTTTTGTCAAAGCACGTGGCTCGGTGTTTACATTGTGGTCACGTGCTTTTGTCGTGTGCTTCAGTGTAGTGTTATGTGAGCGCATGGCTTGTATTGTCTCTCTGTGTCATGCGCTCTCCCGTCTATTGTCTAGTCCTTCCCTCCTGGTTTACTCATTATTAGTTTGTCATGTTCACCTGTGTGTCAATTTACTTTTTGCTTTATAATCCCCCTCATGTTTTCAGTCCTTGGCCAGTTCGTCGTCGATTGTTTCCTGTCTTGTGTCCAGCCCTGTCTTGTCCTGCCAGTCTAGTCAAGTTTGTTTGTTCGTTTATTTGTTTTATTAGAGTTTTCCCCCTCGGGGTTGTTTGTTTTGCCTTTTTGTTTTTATTTTATTCTTAATAAACACCCATTATTTGCTGCACCTGAGTCCTCGCTCCTTTTTCCCCTCACCGAACGTGACATAGAGACCCTGAGCATGCATCAATAGTAGGGATGTAACAATTATGTAAATACCATCATACCGCAATAGTAATTTTTTTTCAATATTAGCGTAGGCGCATGACTCAATAAAACTATATTTCTGAGAAAAGTTTGCTCAGAATGAAGCGAACGGGAGGTAGCGGGAACTACATTTCCCATCAGCCCAGGCATGGCCATCATCCTTTGCGGTCTGTTGTCACAACAGATCCAGTAATGCGGAAATGGAGTGTGCTGCTAGTAGCGGGGAAGAAAAAGAGCTGGAAATGATCGAATCTAAAGCGGGTTTTAAATCGGATGTGTGGAAGCATTTCGGTTTCTTTCTAAAAAGATACAAAAAAGGAGAAAAGGTGACAGACAAAGACAAAAACAGCATGCAGGCACTGCCAGACTGTGGTGAAATATAAGTCGGGGAATACGACTAAAGACAGTCATGGGGACTGCAGAACACAGCACACTTGTTAGATTGATGCAGACATTGACTTGTACCGCAAAGAGACCTCTATCTCACTCATGGCTTGTCCTCTCAAGTGGAGGAAAGACAATGCACAACGTTACCCACTGCTGTCAACCTTGGCTAAATCATATCTCTCTGTCCCAGAAACCTCAGTCTCAAATGAGAGGGGGGTTTTCTGTTGCAGGGGACATGCCCAGAGATCCCAGCTTTCACCAGATTATAGTTATATGATCATTTTCCTTAAAAAACCCATCTCTATCTGAGTGAGTGAGTGATTAAATGTTGAATGTGAGGAGTTTTCAGCAATACTAAATTGAAACTTTATTTTTTTTATATGGTTTAATAGTTTTTTGTTATTAAAATTGAAAAATTGAAGTTCCTGTTTTGAAACTTACAGATAGGTGGCTAATTTGTATGTCATTGATATGTTCAGTGCTAAGGTAAATAAACACTTTTGCCAATTTTTTCGAGTCTTTTCATTAGTTTTGTTTTTCCTGTAAATTACTCAATAAATACCGTACCGTGCCATTCATACCGAGGTATTACCGTACCGTGAAATTCTCATACCGCTACATCCCTAATCAATAGTGCCGCCATATTTGTACAGTGCTCCCAGGACAAGAGTCATTCAACCTCGCTAGTTAAGAAAGTGCTATTACGTGAAGATGCTGGACTTTAGCGCTGTCTACGAGTGTAGTAACCCTAGTAGCAAAGAATTCTGGCCCAGATTTGGCAAAAAGCTGGCACAGCAGGCATTCATCCGGCACTGGCATACAGCATGTGGGCCAAACATGGCCCGGGTTTGGCAGAGGTGGCACCGTCTTTAAGGCGGCACACAAGATTTGGGCCAGATGAAAAATGTAGTATTTGGCCCAGATGAAAAAATGTGATAAGTGGGCCATGTGAGTTTGGCCAGTCTTGACCCACATTTAAAATACACTAAAATCATTTTTGAGTAAAGAAAAAAAATTCTACCAATCAGGTCACTTTGAGAAAAAGCGTGCCCATAGTGTGCCTACAGCGCATCACTCCATGGGTTTATCAATTACACTGCAATCGTGACACACCAACCTATCTGGCCCAGTTCAGGTCCAGTTATGAGTTATTAACTTGGCTGAGACTTGGCCCACATATGGTCTGTGTTTGGCCCAGATTTGGTCCAGTCATGTACCGTAATTCACTGCGGCATGTGGGCCAGGCAAAACCTGATTGTGTGGGCCAGAGCTGGGCCAGAGAAATTTTGCTATGTGGGAATGAGCAAACAAAGAAAACAAAGCACAAAGGCAGAACAATTCATAGGTAAGATTAAGTTTTTTACATTTTTGTATGTTAAGAACTTCTGTGTTAAACAGGTCTGTAGTGTATGAGTGTGAGTGAGTGTGTATGGATGTTTGCCACTGATGGGTTGCACCTGGAAGGGCGTTCGCTGCATAAAATGTGCTGGATAAATTGGTGGTTCATTCCACTGTGGCGACCCCTGATTAATAAAGGGACTAAGCAAATGTGACATTTAAAGGCTTAACTAGGTTAATTAGGGTAACTAGGCAGGTTAGGGTAATTAGGCAAGTCATTGTATAACAATGGTTTGTTCTGTAGACAGTCGTAAAAAAATATATAGCTTTATAATACTAATAATACTGACCTTAAAATGGTGTTTAAAAAATTAAAAACTGCTTTTATTTTTGCCGAAATAAAAAAATAAGACTTTCTCCAGAAGAAAAAATATTATCAGACATACTGTGAACATTTCCTTGCTCTGTCATTTAGGAAATATTTAAAAAAAGAAAAAAAAATTCCCAGGGGGGCTAATAATTCTGACTTCACCTGTATATGTTCATCATGACATATAATTGATCGTCAGAATAAATGTCTTCCAATAATTTGAAAATAATATTTTTATTTTTTTTACAATTTAATTTTTAAAAATGGTCTTATTTAGCTTGTTTACTTGTAAATGTATGATATTAGGGAATAATTGTTTGTGAAGCAGGATGTCTTCAGCTGAGATGGGTGTGAAACGGCGTTCATCTGCTTTGGTGAATGCAGCAGCTCAGCTCAGCTCTGGCAGAGTGTGTAAAATCAATGGTGTTTGCAAACGTGTCAAACACTGGATTCCTGCTGCTCGGGTCACGTCTCGCCCTTCACTCATGCCAAATACAGTTTGCTGTCTGAGGCCTGAGTGGATGTGACAGAGCTGTGTGTGTGTGTGTGTGCTTGTTTTTGGTACATGCATATGTGAGCATGGTGTGTGTTTGCATGGAAGTATTATGTATTACATGCATATAATTGTGTGCATGCATGTGTTTGTGTATATACACGTACATGTACATACACGTACGAATGTGTGTGCATGTTTGTGTTTACATGCATATAATTGTGTGCATGCATGTGTGTATGCGTGCATGTGTGTGTGCATGTTTGTGTGCATGTTTGTGTTAACATACATATATTTGTGTGCATGCATGTGTGTTTGTGTGTTTTTGTGTTAGTGTGTGTGCATATGTGTGTTTACATGCATATATTTTGTGCATGCATGTGTGTTTGTGTGTTTTTGTGTTAGTGTGTGTGCATATGTGTGTTTACATGCATATATCTTGTGCATGCATGTTTGTTTGTGCACATGTTTGTGTTTGCATGTTTGCGTGTGCATATTCGTGTTTACATGCATATATGTGTGTGTGCATGCATGTGTGTTTGTGTGCATGTGTGTGTGTGTTTGTATGTTTGTGCTTGTGCATATTTGTGTTTACATGCATATATTTGTGTGCATGCTTGTGTTTATGTGTGTATGTGTGTGTGTGTGTGTGTGTGTGTGTGTGTGTGTGTGTGTGTGTGTGTGTGTGTGTGTGTGTGTGTGTGTGTGTGTGTGTGTGTGTGTGTATATTTGTGTTTGCATACATACATTTGTGTCCATACATGTGTGTGGTTGCATATTTGTGTTTACATGAATATATTTGTGTGCATGCATGTGTGTTTTTGCATGTTTGTGTGTGTTCATACTTGTGTTTAAATGCATATATGTGTGTGTGAGTGCATGCATGTGTGTTTGTGTGCATGTGTGTTTTTGTATGTTTGTGTGTTTGCATATTTGTGTTTACATGCATATGTGTGTGCATGCATGTGTGTTTGTCTGCATGTGTGTTTTTGTATGTTTGTGTGTGTTCACATTTGTGTTTAAATGCATTTATTTGTGTGTGTGCATGCATGTGTGTTTGTGTGCATGTGTGTGTTTGTTTGTGTGTGCATATTTGTGTTTACATGCATATATTTGTGTGCATGCATGTGTGTTTGTCTGCATGTGTGTGTTTGTGTGTGTGCATATTTGTGTTTACATGCATAAATTTGTGTGCGTGCATGTGTGTTTGTCTGCATGTGTGTGTTTGTGTGTGTGCATATTTGTGTTTACATGCATATATTTGTGTTCATGCATGTGTGTTTGTCTGCATGTGTGTTTTTGTATGTTTGTGTGTGTTCATATTTGTGTTTACATGCATTTATTTGTGTGTGTGCATGTATGTGTGTTTGTGTGCATGTGTGTGTTTGTTTATGTGTGCATATTTGTGTTTACATGCATATATTTGTGTGTGTGTGTGTGTGTGTGTGTGTGTGTGTGTGTGTGTGTGTGTGTGTGTGTGTGTGTGTGTGTGTGTGTGTGTGTGTGTGTTTGTCTGCATGTGTGTGTTTGCAAGTTTGTGTGCGTGCATATTTGTGTTTACATGCATATATTTGTGTGCGTGTGTGTGTGTTTGTCTGCATGTGTGTGTTTGCAAGTTTGTGTGCGTGCATATTTGTGTTTACATGCATATATTTGTGTGCGTGTGTGTGTGTTTGTCTGCATGTGTGTGTTTGCAAGTTTGTGTGCGTGCATATTTGTGTTTACATGCATATATCTGTGTTCATGCATGTGTGTTTGTGTGCATGTGTGTTTTTGTATGTTTGTGTGTGTTCATATTTGTGTTTACATGTATACATTTGTGTACATGCATGTGTGTGTTTGTATTTTTATGTGTGTGCATATTTGTGTTTACATGCATATATTTGTGTGCATGCATGTGTGTTTGTGTGCGTGTGTGTTTTTGTATGTTCATACTTGTGTTTAAATGCATATGTGTGTGCATGCATATGTGTTTGTCTGCATGTGTGTTTTTGTATGTTTGTGTGTGTGCATATTTGTGTTACATGCATATGTTTGTGTGCATGCATGTGTGTGTTTGTGTGTGTGTTTATTTGTGTTTACATGCATATATCTGTGTGCGTGCATGTGTGTTTGCATGCATGTTTATGTGTACGTGCATCTATGCTTGTATGTGTGT